CTCTTGCTCCCTCTCCCTTCCTCTCCGAAATCAATAAGAATAGATTTAGAATTTTATATATATGTATTTACTGGTTCCAGAGAGGAAGAGGGAGAAACATCAACGAGGAGAATCATGGGCCAGCTGCCTCCTGCACACCCCACTAAGGATCAAGCCCGCAACCCGGGCCTGCGTGCCGATGGGGAATCGGACCGGGAGTGACCGACCGCCGAGCCACACTCTCCTTATCTGAGTGACAACTGCCGCTGGGATGGAAGCGTGGGTGTGGGGGATGAGACGGAGGCTGGGGGGGCACCAGGGGCCACTGACCGGGTCCCAGGGCCGGGGCCGGCGGGCTCGGAGCTGCTGGAAGCGGTGCAGCGCGCGGAAGGCCTGGTGCAGGCAGCGGGCGCGGCGAGCCTCCTGCGGACCCTGGGGCCACCACGCGGGGCTGCAGCAGGGCTGCGTCCAGGGGCGCCTGCGGGGCACGAGGCCCAGGGTCAGGCCCAGAACCCGGGGGGGGGGGGGGCCCTGGTGCCTCCCAAGCTCCCCCACCACAGCCGCCTGCACGCACGTGGCTCACGGTCGCGGGTCTCGGGACGCCGGTGACAGCGCCGCCGCGGACGTACTCGGAGAAGGCCGCTGTGTCCCCGATCTCCAAGGTCCCGTCCTCTGGGGAGGGGACCCATCCTTCGAGCTGCCCTCTGACCCGAGTCCTTCCCACCCCGTCCCATCGTGCACCGAGCCCTGGACGCCGCCGGGGGAGGCGGGGGGGGGGCGGGATTGCCCCCGGAGCGGGCTGTGTCCGTCCCGGGGGGCGCGGGCGGGGAGCGGCTGTGTCCTCCCGGGCGCGGGCGCGGAGCCGGGCCCGGGCCGGCGCTTACCCCGCAGGCGGACGGGCCGGGGAGCACAGCCGTTGAGCTCGCTCATGCCCTCGATCCCGGAGAAGGTGACGGCGTCCACCTCGTGGAAGTAGCGGGCCTCGGCCGGGTTCCTCAGCCTGAGGACGCCCGGGGAGCCCTGGGTGGGGGGGGGCGGCTCAGAGGTCGGGCCTGCGCTCGGCGGGCCGGCCGGGCACCCGCCCCCGCACCCAGCGCACCCAGCGCACCCACCTGGGAGATGTGCTGGACGGCCGCGGTCAGGGGCTCCTCCGTTTGATCCAGAACCGTGAAGTCCTCACCGAAGTCGCAGAACACCTGCCTGCGGGGGCGGCAGAGGTCCCGGTCACAGAGACGGGCCATGGTTAGCCACCACGACGGGCGAAGGCGGGGAGCCCAGGGGCCAGCACAGGAGAGGGTGCTGGGGGCGGCCCGGGCGGGGTGAGGGCCAGCGGAGCAGGCCGGAGGCCAGGGTGGAGGACACGGAGGGTGGGCTGGACACCGGAATCAGGGGGCGCCGGGCCGGCCGGCGGCAGCCCACTCACCCCACCAGGCCCCGGGTGTCGGCCACCAGGAAGCGGACTCCGTGCTTGCGGCACCAGCTGCCCACCGCCAGCTGCTCCTCCAGGTGCGAGGCCGTCAGCACCACCACCTGCGGACCCGGGGTGAGGGCGGGGGCGGGGAGGAGGGGGGCGGGGCGGAGGGGCGGGTGGAGGGGGAGGGGCGGGGAGGAGGGGAGGAGGGGTGGGGAGGGAGGGGGCAGGGCGGAGAGGGATGGGGAGGAGGGGGATGGGGAGGAGGGGTGGGGAGGAGGGGGCGGGGCGGAGAGGGATGGGGAGGAGGGGGATGGGGAGGAGGGGACGGGGCGGAGAGGGATGGGGAGGAGGGGGATGGGGAGGAGGGGACGGGGTGGAGGGGGCGGGCGGAGGGGGCGGGGCGGAGGGGGCGGGGCGGAGGGGGTCGCACCTGGAACTCCCGCACCAGGTCCTCGCTGAGGCCGCCTGTGTGCACGCAGACCTGGGCGGCCCCGTTGAGCTTGGCCACTCCATCTTGAGAGGCCTCCGCCCTGCCCCTTCCCAAGTCCTGCTCCGAGAGGAAGAACTGGAGAGACCCGGCTGAG